AACTCGATGGAGAACAATGGGGGAACGATGGGAGGGACCAGCTCAGGGGGGGAAATCAACTCGGAATCGGCGATACATCGCCGACAGATCGGTGATAGAACCGCGAGAGTGAAACCGCACGGTCCCAGGCGGGGTGGGCTAGCAAGCCCCCATCGGGGATGCATGGGCGATTAAGGGTCGATTCGTTCCCCCCCGAGCCTATCCCATCCCTCTCTCCCTCCCTCGTCCCTCCTCCAAGCTGCCCCCTGCCGCTGTCGCTGTAGGCGTTGGTGTTCGTCTGGGCGTAGCCATCACTCCCCCCTGAGCTCCCTCCTCAACCCCCCCTCCTCCTCCTCCTCTCCCCCTCCTCCTGCTCCTCCTCCTCCTCCTCCTCCTCCTCCTCCTCCTCCTCCTCCTCCTCATCCTTTTCCGCGCGCTCCCATTCGTCGGGACCGCCGATGACCAACGGGCGCGATATTCACTGGCTCACCAGCTTCGGGCACTGGGCGAACGACGACGGCGACGACGTCGACGACGATACTCGAGGCTCGAGGATCGAGGATCGAGGCTCAAAGAACGAGGTTGAGGATGCTTTCTACGCTGTTGGGGACACCAGTCTCGGAGGGTCTCTCGAGGCCTCTGGAGACCTCTGAAGACCTCCAGGGACCCCTGGAGACCTCCGGAGACCCTGGGTCACCGAACTTCGCGCTTCGCGCTGCGCGAGGCACGATGCGCGATTACGTTCGCGCTCACGCACCGCCGCGAAGAACAGAACACATCTCAGACGCAGACAGCGAATTGTTACGCCACCGCTGGTGATCTGCAAACATAATCATCAGCACCCATCGGTCGGAAGAGCTGGGTAGAAACGTGAAGTGGGAAGGCGCCGAAAGTAGATCGGGTTCCCGCACGTCCCCTAAAGAGGATGGAAAAGGGAAAGCCATTCGATCACTGAAGTAGGAAGGCGATTGAAAAATACTGGAGTCTGGGAAGCCCGAACTACACAGTTTCAACAACCGATGGGCACACCTGGCCCTGGACGCCCTGCTGGCGAAGGCGCCCTGGCGCGTGAGCCTTGCCTTTCTGCTCTGCCAGGCGGGTCTGCGGACGCTGCTGTGCCCTTCGCGGTCACTGCTGCGAGCATAGAAGCCAGAGGATCGTCGGGGATCTACTGACCCCGGTCAATGCAAGCCTGGGTCAGTCGGGCGTTGTAGGATCCTGCACGCTAACACGGGTCAGAGCAACCCGGGCTCAGCAGGATCGTGCAAGATCCGGCGCTCTAGCTGACACCCGTTTGCATTGACCCCCCGTCTCAAGGCTCCCGAAATCGGCCTTGGGACGTCGGCCAGGGTGGGTGAGGGTCGCTCTCACTGAGGCCTCGTAGGTGGCACAAGAACAGCCCAACAGAGCCTGGCGTGGCCGATACCAGAATAACCAGTCCGCACAGGAGAACGATGAGCACCTTTCGGGGTACAGAAGTTGGCACACAGAGTCTGAAGCGTTCCGCATCGAGTCTAAAGGCGCACGTCGGCTGTGCCATGGTGATCCACCAAAACGGGAGACAACAACTCGCCTACGCGTCACAATACCCGTCGAGCATGAACTGCTGAAATGCCGAGATGGCTGGGCTGGGATGTTCCAGCATTACAAAAAAATGCGCGGCACGTACAACAGACAACGAACCACAGGCGTGTTCATGGAACCATCACTTGCAAGGCAAACATGGCGCAGCCCATGAATACATGTGCTCTGCTTGCACTACATACGGCACGCCACCAAATGTACCTGTGCTGCGCAGAAGAACCGCCGCTAGCACCGCTACAAATGCATCGCCGCCATCACCCTTTCATTCTCCAAGCGCAGTAGATCCGGCCACACAACATCCGCCGACCCTTCGGCGTGCGGCAGACGCTGTCGCCGTCATCAGGCCCACAGAACTTGAGAAACAAGGACATTGAGGAACGTCGCAGTTGAAGGGAAGCGCCCTCTCTTTGATCCCTTCCCTGCGGGGGAGGGGGGAGAAAGGGGGGCGTCCCGGGTCAGAATACCGCCCCCCCAGGTCCCGGGAGATCCCGGGGTCAGGTCCCGCTTTCAGGGTCGGCGGCACCGGCCGCAAGGCCTTCGCAATGGATGTTCCCCGTCATCATCCTCCGAACGGCGCCTGGCCAGAATCCAAACACCCCCCGCGCCGAGTCACCCGGCGGTTGGACGCGCGAGAGGCTCTGCAAGGCCCCGAGGGGCGAGGCGCGCCCGAGGCCGAGAACACGAAAACTCTGCAGGGCCCCACGAGAGCGCCGGCATGCGCCTGCTACCGGCTTATATTAAAGTTATTTCGCGTGGGAGGCTCTGGGCGGGAGTGCTTGAGCCCATGATTCGGAAATGCGAGAGGCCAGGAACGAGAGGAACGGGAGGGGCAAAGAAGGTGAGCAATCATATGCTGAGTTCGGGTCAGAAGGCGAATGCCACCCGCAATTTCAAAAAGAAGTAAACTCCCGCCTTGGAAGTGATGTTCCCGTTTGCCCAGACCTTCTCCAGCAGGTGAGTGGCGTCCTCACAGCGGCAGATGCACACGAGATGAGGCGGGCAACAAGAAGGTCGACTAACGAAAGAGCAACGGATCACGGCGACGGGATCACTGACCACGACAGTGGGACCACCGATGGAGGACAAGGCGTACAGAGATGAACGTACTTAGCAGCGGCTGGTCATGATGAACATCAGCATGTTTGTCGACGTCAGCCGTCGTCGTCGTCGTCGGTCATGTGCATCCGAAGGCCAGAGATCACGTATGAAGGCCAGCCCGCCTCGGCAGGAAGGAGGGATGATAAAAACAAAAAACGAAACACATATATATATATACATATATATATACAGATGAACATTACATATATATATATATATATACACACACCTGTCAAACAAAACAAAAACAATACAAAACAAAAAATCCTGCACCCCGTGCGGGAGCTGAATTCGGGCCGCGGTCCTTCGCCACGGCCTTCTCCCTGTACGGCTCCTTCAGGCACTGGCGCAGCACGGACGCCATCTCATTGGTGTAGCGCAGGTAGGAGACGCCTGCGACGACGAAGGCGACGGCAACAAGCAGAAGAGGAGGAGAAGAAGGAGGAGGGGGAGGAGGAGAAAGGAGGAGGAGCAAGGAGGAGGAGGAGGAGGAGGAAGAGGAAGTGATGATGTGAAGGTGGAGGAGCGGGATCCTGCTCCTCCTGCTCTCTCCTCCTCCTCCTCATGACCATCATCCTCCTTCTCCGCTGCCGCCGCCGCCTCGTGCTCCCCTCACTGCTCCTCCTCATCCTCCTCCTCCTCCTCCTCCTCCTCCTCCTCCTCCTCCTCCTCCTCCTCCTCCTAGCCATTTCGCGCTCAGGGAGCGTTGCTGGCGCATACTTCGAAGTGGCATCAGTGCCAGCGAGCCTTTCACATCACCACGAGCCGCTCAGACAGGCCACGCCCGCCATTGGCGGCCCGCAAGGCGGAGGAAGCGTGCTGCCAGGTTCCAAGCATCCGTGCAGGGGTTGCGGAGGCTGCGGAGAGAACTGAGCCAGCGGGCTCAAGTGCCGAGGCTGCGGCAACGGCGCCCCTGCGAGGATCGCCCAAGCCGCACGCGCAGCAGGGACGGCGGCGCGCAGCGAGCAGGGTCCGAGCGCTGGCCGCCCAGCCGCCGCCTGGGCCAACGGGCCTCCAGCAGGTGGCAGCCTCGCCAAGGAGGTCCAAGCGCTCAAGTCCCAGCTGGCGGCCATGCAGCAAGGAGGAGAGGGGTGGAGGAGCCAGCAAGCCCAAGGCCCCCCCCCCAGACAGGCGGGTCAGGCGTGTCGGGTCTGTCCTTCGCGCAGGTGCTCGCCTTCCTCAAAGCTCAGGGGGGGTGGGGGGGGGACGTCTCGGCGATCTCCACCGTGGGGCAGGCCAAAGTCAAGGCCTACGAGTCGCGGCCGCCCTCGGCCATTGAAGCCCGCCACAGGGTGGAGAATGCTACTCGGCAGGTGGATCGCCTCGTCGGCCGCACCGCGGAGTCCGAGAAGCAGCAGGCCGAGCTCGCCAAGACCCTGGAGGAGACGAAGAAGCAGCTCGAGGAGGCCCGCGCAGAGCTCGAGCAGCACACGAAGATGCTCCACGAGGTCAACTTCGCCGACGTTGACGACCCGATCGCTGTGGGGCTGGCGGGCCTCGACCAGGCAGTCACCAGCTCCGCCGAGGGCCAGGCGGCGCTCGAGACGCTGCAGCGCCCGCAGCGTGAGGCCCGCGCTGCGGCCCAGGCGCCACAGGGTGCTGAAGGGGCTGCTGGTGGCGATCCTGGTTCTGGTTCAGATGAGCAGCCTGACGATGTCCCCATGGGCAGGCCTGCCCAAGCCGAGGACTACGACAGCGAGTTCCAGCAGGGGCTCAAGCGGGCGATGGCGGCTGAGAACGCAGAGCAAGAGGTTGCCCAGTATCTTGCCGAGTTCGAGGCCAAGCGCCAGTGCCGTTCCTGACGATCGACTCGTCCTAGGGCTGACCCCAGCTGAATGGCCTCGTCTAGGCAGCAGCCAGGCCGCAGCACGCCCTGCCTCCAGGAGGCACTGCCCCCCCCCGGCCCGTGAAGCCAACGAAGAGGGTGGCGGCACATGAATTCCTTCAACGACGGCGGCGCCCATGGTCAGGCTGCTCGACTTCGGCTATCTCGCAGAGCGATGTCCAGATGCTCTCTGGTCCTCACCCTCAGAGGGAAGAAGAAGAATATTCCTCGAGGGACCTCCTCCTCCCCTCCTCCAAGAAGAAGAAGAAGCACCTCCAGAAGGAATCCCGAATCCTCCTACTCCTTCCTCCTCCTCCTCCTCATCCTCCTCCCTCCTCCTCCCCTCCCCCCCTCCCCCCCCCCCTCCTCCTCTCCTGCCCCTCCTCCCTCCTTCCCTTCCTTCCCTCCTCTCTCACCTCCTCCTCACCTCCTCCTCCTCTCCTCCCCTCTCCTCCCTCCTCCTCCTCCTCCTAGCCTCCTCCTCCTCCTCCTCCTCCTCCTCCTCCTCCTCCTCCTCCTAGCAGTGTCGCTCAGGCGAGCGATGCACGGGCATAGTACTTTGACACGGCGTGTCCGTGCGAGCCAAATCCGGCCGGGCGTCCCATGGACGGAGCGGCTGCCGGGCCTGCCGCCGCGCAGGGGCCATCGCGGTCGGGCCGCGGCGAGGGAGCGGTCGCCGGAGTCGCCCCCCGCGGGCGCGGCTGGCCCAGCGGCCGCGGAGCCGCAGGCGCAGCCGAGCGGCGGTGCCGCGACCCGTGGCGGAGGCTGCGGAGGAGAAGCGGCATGTTCCTTGCACTCCGCCACGGTCTGGCGGCGCGGCCAAGTCCGCCAGCTCGGCTCGTGGGCATCCGGCGGAGGCCCCAGCGCCGTGGGTTGCGGACGCCATGTGCCGGGCGACACGCACGCCGCGGACCGGGGGCGCCTCTCGCCCGATCCCCCCACGGGCGTCGCCTGTTCGAACGATCGGGAAAGCGGCAGCCAAGATTCTGAGCGGGAGTAAGGAGAAGAGCGGACTCTCCTGGAAGACGTGAAGGCGCTGCGGAAGGTGCGCCGACTTGCCGCCTGGTGTGTGTCTGCCTCGTGGAGGACCACAAGCCGGAGGACACCCGCGAGTGCGAAGACACTTTCGAGGGCCGCTTCGACACGCGGGCCTCGCATACGGCTTGCCGCGAGGAGAACTCAGTGGCGGACCTCGCGCCGCAGGACGCCCTGGAGTGTGTTCACGCGCCCGAAGGCTGCCTCGACGTCGTGGCCACGGGCGAGACCGAGGAGAGCGGCGACCACAGCTACCTGGAGGAGGACTGCCCCGCGTCCACGAGCTGTGGATGGGGCTCCGGCTGCGTCGCAGAGAGCTCGGCGATCGAGGACGTCGTCGACGGGGGCCTGGACCCAAGCTGCCTGGGCAAGGAGAGCGCCGACACCTGTGGGGAGCCCCTGGGCAGCTCCCCATCCGAGGACGGCGTCCGCAAGCACTTGGAGAAGGACTTCCCTACGTCCACGGGCGATGGATGGGGCACCGGCTTCGTCGAGAAGAGCCTGGCGCCCGAGTTTGTCGTCGATGGAGGCCTGGACGCAAGCTACCTGGATGACAAGGGGAGCGTCGACACCTACGGGGAGCCTCCGGTCAGCTCCCTGGTGAAGGCGGCGCCGTGCAAGAGGGGTTGCGAGCACCAGGGCGTCGTACCGTGCCGCCCCTCGCGCGGCAGCTGGGCGGATGAGGTGGACGAGCCCGACTTCGTGGAGTTCCTGGTCTCCCTTGGGCCCACAACCCGTGCCGGGCGTGCCCGGGCGAGCAAGGGCCGTCGCTCGCACCAGGGTGGGGGTTGGCCTGCACGCGAGGCCCGTGCGTCCGTGCGGAGCTGGGCCGAGCTGGTCTGTCCCCGCCTCGGTGAAGGACCAGGCTCGGACACGGGAGCTCCCAGCGAGGGGAAGCGAGAGGCGCCGCGGGCGGAGGGCGGGTGCGAGGGCGCCGCCGCCACTCCCCGTGCGCCGAAGAACCGTGCTGGGCGTGCTCAGTTGAGCAAGGGCCATCTCTCGCGCGAGAGCGGTGACTCGCCTGCACACGAAGCCCATGAGTCCGTGCCGAACTGGGCGGAGGATGACACTCGCAGTGTCGGGGTGCCTGTCTCGGCCGCGGACGTTCCCATCCAGGGGGCGGAGGAGGCGCCGCGGGCGGAGGGCGGGCTTGAAAGCGTCGCCGCCCTTGCCCGTGCGCTAGCGGATCGCCTCCAAACGGGAGCGCTGCTTGCTGACCTCGAGGAGGAGCGGGGCGTCTTCCTTGAGGCCTCCGCCCAGTACGACTTCGTGGCGATGACGGCAGCCATCGGCGAGGCGCGGTGTGAGGAGCCCCACGCGATGCTTTGAGGCCGCCTCCTGCTCGTTTCTTCGAGTTACTCTCGACCGCAGCGGGCGCGGTGCCTACAGACAGTCCGATAAGGTTGGTACGATTTGTTGGACCCTGTTGGCACGTCCGGCACGGCCGCGACCCCCCGCGGGCGGCCACGAAAAGGGCCTCGCTCACCCGAGTTCGCCGGGTCTGTCGACATTTCGGCTCAAGAGGGGCGGCCCTGGGGGGCGACAGCGACGGACGACGTCGAAGGCGACGGCGATGGCGGCGACGTCCACGGCGACGGCGGCGGCGGCGATGGCGGCGATGTCGGCGATGGCGACGGCAGCGTCGGTGATGGCAACGACGACGACGACGTCGACGGCGGCCAACGGCGGCGGCGGCAGTACAGACAGGCTGAGGTTTCTCTTAGGATTTGAGTTGCCGCCCCACTCGCGAAATCCTTGCCTCCTCGCTCTCCCTGGCGCCGCTGCCCCAAAGGAAGCGCGCCCGCGCGCTTTCTCACCTGTTCGATTTTGTTGTACATTGCGTTCCTTTTTCCCAATAGACACCTGCCGAAGGCAGGGCACGCGAAGACCCCTCCTGGGGCCTTCAGCAACTCGGGATCACCGACGCCACGGCCCTAGCGGCAAGGCAGGCGGTCGGGACCCCAGTGGAGGCCGCAGCCTCCCGAGTCGTTGAAGGTACTTGGGGGGCGGCTGTCGCGTGCCCTCGGCGGGTGTCACCCGAGGGGGAGTCCGAGTGACTCGGTGCGAGTGAGCCCCTGCGCCGGGCGGAGGGAGTCTGAGCGGCTCCGTGCGAGTGAGCCCCTGCGCAGGGCGAGACCGGTTGAGTCTGGACACGAATGGGGTTGGGGTATGAGTGGGCCTGGGCACGTGCGAGTGTGAATGAGCGTGTGTCTGAAAGTAAGCGAGCCCGAGCATGAGTGCGTCAACGTCTCCGCGGGGTCTGAACATGCACCAGTTCCGCGATTGTCTGTTTCCTTGGACAGGAAAAAGAGCCCACTAAGGGCCGGCAGAATAAAATTCTAGAAGGAACGACGCAGTCACTAAAATTCTAGACGGAACGCTTCGGTAAAATTCTAGAAAGCATCTGTCCCCCCCCCGTGGCCCCTGCCCCGTGCCCCCGACCGGAAGCCGGCCTCGAAAACCTTCACTACCCATAATTGATATTATATAAAGGTACAGTGGTTCCACAAGATCCGTCCAAAGATAATCCGCTGGCCCCCTTGCGGGGCCACCAGGCTGTCAGCTTCCAGTTTCCACTGTTACAGTTCTGCTTCTTGCTGCATACTATCCTTGTTGATGAACGCGCGAGGGGGGGAGCCCAAACCAGCAGAACTACCTCGCCCTGGGAAGGTTCTCAAAATTTCTGGGGGGTAAAAAGTAACCCCTCACGCAGATCCGCAGGGTCAGGGTCCAAAAACACAGGGGAGTTGCCAAATTTCTGAAATTCGGCGGCAAACCTCAAGCAGATCCGTAGGGTCAGGGTCCAAAAACACAAAGAATTTGCCAAACTTCTGAAATTCGGCGGCACCCGTCACGCAGATTCGTAGGGTCAGGGTCCAAAAACCCATGGGATTTGCCACATTTCGAAAATTCTGTGGCACCCCTCACGCAGATCCGTAGGGTCAAGGTCTAAAAAACACAAAAAGGATTTGCCAAATTTTTGAAATCCGGTGGCACCCCTCACGCAGATCCGTAGGGTCAGGGTCCAAAAACACATGGGATTTGCCACATTTTGAAAATTCGGCGGCACCCCTCGCGCAGATCCGTAGGGTCAGGGTCCAAAAACACAAGGGATTTGCCACATGTTTGAAATTCGGTGGCATCCCTCACGCAGATCCGCAGGGTCAGGATCCAAAAGCACAAGGGAGTTGCCAAATTTCTAAAATTCGGCGGCAAACCTCAAGCAGATCCGTAGGGTCAGGGTCCAAAAACACGAAGAATTTGCACCATTGTTGAACTTCGGTGGCACCCCTCACACAGATCCGTAGGGTCAGGGTCCAAAAACACATGGGATTTGCCACATTTCGAAAATTCGGTGGCACCCCTCACGCAGATCCGTAGGGTCAGGGTCCAAAAACACATGGGATTTGCTGAATTTCTGAAATTCGGTGGCACCTCTCTCGCAGATCCGCAGGGTCAAGGTCCAAAAACACAAGGGACTCTAAAATTCAGTGGCACCCCTTACGCAGATCCGCAGGGTCGCGACGTCTTACCAACCGCCAGGTGTGGTAACCCCTCTGGTGATCAAATGGTTTTGCTCATTACGAGTCGGCCTCGCATGAAGTTCCGATACTGCTTCACGACAGCGCCCAGGCCTCATGACATAGCTCTTGCATAGCGCATTCTCCGAGAGCGGCACGGGCCGAAGCCCTTACGGATAGGTTTTCACCACTCAGAATGCCCGGATCCGTGAAAAATGCACCGGATCCGCCCAGGATCTGTGGCGGATCTGTACCCGGATCCGACGCCCGAGGCCATGTTCACACCCTCCATTTTGGGACCGTCTGGAGTGTTTTCGGGGCCGACAGTCGGGTAACTTCGTGCGATTTGAAGCTTCGGGCCGATTTCTCAAATCGCACCGACTTACCTGACTGTCTGTAGGGGCCGAGGCGCCTCAGGTTCAGGCGTCGCCGCCGCGCGAATTCGTTTCTATGCCGCGTCAGCTGTCACTGATAAGTGCTGTTGAGGCCGCCCCGGGCCTGTTTTTCGGCACCCTGTGTGGGTAGCCCAAGCGGTGAGTGTCAGGCTTTGGACGCGTGGACCTCCCTCCTCCCCTTCCTCCTTCAGGGGTTGCGCACCTCCTCCTCCTCCTCCTCCTCCTCCTCCTCCTCCTCCTGCTCCTGCTCCTGCTCCTCTCATCAGCACCATATTCTTCTTCTTCTTCTTCTTCATCATCATCATCATCATCATCATCATCATCATCATCATCATCATCATCATCATCATCATCATCATCATCATCATCATCATCATCATCATCATCATCAGCAGCAGCAGCAGCAGCATCAGCAGCATCAGCATCAGCATCAGCATCAGCATCAGCATCAGCATCAGCATCAGCATCAGCATCATCATCATCAGCAGCATCAGCAGCATCAGCAGCATCAGCATCAGCATCATCAGCATCAGCATCAGCATCAGCATCAGCATCAGCATCATCATCAGCATCATCATCATCATCATCATCATCATCATCATCATCATCATCATCATCATCATCATCATCATCATCATCATCATCATCATCATCATCATCATCATCATCATCATCATCATCATCATCATCATCATAATCATCGGCAGCATCATCATTATCATCATCAGCATCATCATCATCAGCATTAGCATCATCATCATCAGCGTCATCATCATCAGCAGCATCAGCATCATCATCACCACCAGCATCATCATCATCATCATCATCATCATCATCATCAGCAGCATCAGTATCATCATCCTCATCACCATCAGCATCAGCATCATCATCATCACCATCCTCCTCATCATCAGCATCAGCATCATCGATTTCAGAAGCAGCAGCAAAAGCATCATCGTCATACTCCAAAATTGGATATAAGTATCAGTATCATCACCGTCATGATCAGCAGCAGCGGCACCATATTTACCATTAACAGTATCAGCATAAACATCGTTTTCTACATCAGCAGCACAGTCATCGCCATTATCACCATCATCATCAGCAGCATCATCATCATAATCAACATCATCATCACCATCATCATAGTCAGCATTAACTTCACCATTATCATCATTGTCGTCGTCGTAGCCATCATTCCCATCATCAGCAGCATCCTCATCATCAACAACACCATCAGCATCATCATCATCAGAAGCAGCATGATGATGATCATCATCAGCAGCAGCAGCATCATTATCATCAGCATCAGCATCGCCATCATCATCAGCAGCAGCATCAGCATCAGCATCAGCATCCTCATCATCACCATCATCATCGAATCGATCGTCAACCCCAAATCATCCTCCGTCTGCTGCTCCCTTTCTGGCCACGGGGCTGGGCCTGCCGCTCGCCACATCCTGGCCTCGCCCGCTGGGATGAGCAACCGGGGGTGCGCTGCGGCCGCAGGCTGGCGCTCCCGAGGGGCCGCGGAGCTCCGAAACGGCGGCGCGCGGCGGCGAAGAGGCGCTGCGGCGGTGCGCATGGCGGTGGACGTGATCGGGCTGCGCTGCAGGAGGACGCGCGCCGGGAGGAGGAGGACGGGGAGGAAGGGAGGAGGAGGAGGAGGAGGAGGAGGAGGAGGAGGAGGAGGAGGAGGAGGGGGAGGAGGGCGAAGAAAAGGAGGAGGGCGAGGAGGACGAGAAGGAGGAGGGACACCGCATCCTCGCATCGTGAGAAAAAAACACGACGGTGGGTTCTGAGTCGCTGTCTGCCTCTGGGGGCAGTCGCCCGACACCCTCCTCTGACATCCTTCCTCCCCTGACATCCTCCTCTGACATCCCTCCTCCTGGAGCAGGCACGGACCCGCCAGGATATCCCCCCCCCCATACCACCCCTTGGCGGTGCGCACAAGGGGGTGGAGGAAGGGGGGAAGGCTTCTTAGAAGGAGGCTGCTTCTTAGAAGGCGCCGGCCTTACATCTATAGATCAGGCCCGCGCCTTCTAAGGAGCAGGGGTGCTTCTAAGGAGCACCCTCCCTCCCCCCACCCCCGTCTGCGCGTGGCTGAACCCCCCTCTTGGCCTTGACCGCCCCTGATCAAAATTCGTCCTCATCCTGCTTTCGTCTCCAGGCGTGGCCCGAGCTGGCTCGGCGCAAGCCCAACACAGCGAATGTAGGACAAGCTGCGCTGTAATTTCTTGGGGGGCTGCCCCAACCCAGCTCGGCCGATGAGCAAGCCCACCTCCAGGGCGGCGAGCGCTTCCAGAAATCCGTATCTTGCCAGATCCACTGAGATCTGGCGCGGTGGCTGAGACCCGTTCGCGCTGAACCCCAACGTCGTGATTAGTGTCAGAACCTCGCCCCCCGGAGGTCT